TTGCCATTAGTTTTGTATTAAGAGCGCTCGGTGAGTTTTTGCAGCCAAAGGAAAGGGAAAGCTCCTTCAGCGAAGTGAATACTTTCTGCCCTCGTTTCTTATCCTGCTGCAAAACTGCAAACAAAAAAAACATAGATCACTCAGTGTTTGGCCAGAAAAAGAAATGGTAAAAAATGTTTTTTTTCTTTATTTTTTTTACCATTTCCTGTTGATTCTGTATTTGTATTATTACAAGGATATTTTGCCTTTTCTATACAGTGTCATTAAAAAAGGTAAAATATGGATATTTTGTTTCAGGCATGAAGTGCATTCAGAGGAGCGTGGAAACCCTGCAGACTGTTCAGTGTAATAAAAAGCTGTTCTTTATCTCTTGTTTTAAATACAGTTAATCCTGTTTATTCAGCAAACACATCTAAGAGCAACGTGGAGGAAAACACTGAAAAAAAAGAAAAAACTGAAAATTGCCTTTTTGTATTTGCAGTGGTGAGAAACCATGGCTCTGTTCCTTTGCTTTTATTTATAGTCAGTAACCACAAAATGTATCTCTAACAATAACAGGGGATTTTAATAGGCAATATTAATTGTTCTTCCCCTAACTTTTGATCTTAAATGTTTCAAACAAAAGCCCGCTGCCTGTTTATACACCAAATGTGTTTGAAGAATATCTTTTCGAAATGATGCAAAACATGACACTTTGTCACCCGCACTGACATGGTACAGAAATGTCATTTAATCCATCGAGCGATTTATTTTTTTGGGGGTAGGTTTTTTTTTTCTGAACATTGCTCTGCCTTATTTAGAGTAGCAGCGATCTGCGCAGTTTCTTTTGACACTGATGGGTATTTCAAACCCCTTATGCCGAGGGGAGGGAGGGAGAAAAAGGAATTTGCTGCCAGTCGCTGTGGCGATCTGGCTCCATAAGCCATTGCTTATTTGCTAAAAGTTTACATTTCAAATGAGCTTGAAATTTAAAGGTGGGTTATCTTGATGCTGGGGCTGCATTAAGAACGGAGGGAGAAAATAGAGGGAGGACGATTGCTCTCGTGTGTTAAAGTCTTCTGGAGTATCGGTACTATAGCCGTTTAGAATGTATCTTGTTTTTCGAGGCAGCTAGAAGCTGGAGATACGCAGCCGTTTCTAGGAGGCTTAATTTAGGCTTTATAGGAAAAACATCAAACAGCAGCTTACAGTAACTATCTGAAATACATTGCACATTTTAAATATCTTCATTTGGAACCCTGCGTTATTTCCCCCCCGCCCCTTCGCTCTCTCCTGGGATCACTAACGTGCCTCTCCCCAGACAAAGCAAGGACAAGCCCCATCCTTAAAAATTATCTGCCTTACAGATCACATTCCCAGGCATGTTCCCCGGTTTTTATTACTGCGGATAACCTCTTAATGCTATCACAATTTTATACTTGTTAAGTGGACATCTTCCGTATATTTAACTGCAAACAAAGTGACTTCATTTTGGGGGGTGGAAGGAAGGAGAAATGCTTTGGGATGATTAGAAACATAAGTTTCTATCTTCTGTCACACGAGCCTATCAATTATTCAAAACCCTACTAAATTTATATGTCTGTTCCTAAAACGTTGTTTGCACTCGTTCCCTGGGAAGATGGAGGCAGCTGATAATTTGGCTAAATTATGCATTTGAGCCCAATGGTTACAAATGAAAGACTCGAATTTGGTAGATTTATTTGCAGCTGCTGAAATTTCCTGGTGGCAATGATTCGGATTGACTCCTTCAGGGTACAAATCAAGGGGTGAGGTGCTGCCCGCAGGTATTTAGGTGGACCAAACTGTGTCATTACAGCTAATAAAATGATGCATTGGTGAGTTGGTGGGAGGTTTTGCTGGTTGGATAGGGGCAGGATACAGGGGGCAAAGGGCCTAGAGCAGCCCTCAAGGTGCTGCTTGCTCCAGGTAGCTATTACCTGAGTGTAAAGTCCAATAAAGGGGAAATTACTGCTATTATAAGATGAGCTGTGAAGGATGCAGGGTGGGTGATGCTGGCTTGAGCAGGGTGCAATGTGCTCACCCCAAACCCATGCTTCGACCACCCCTGATTCATTCCGTCTGCTGCAATGGTGTAAGATATCCCCCTTCCTCAGCGGTGTCAGGGTGTGATTGGCAGCAAGTCTCTGCTGAGTGCGTGTGTCCTGCCATGCGCACCAGGCGCAGGACGTGAAGGGGGAGTTTTTGTAATTTTCTATTTTTTTTTTAAATAGATGGGCTCTGACAAATAACGCCGCCTCTCCGCAAAGCATTGTGAGCAGCAGCCCTCTGCAGCAGCAAACCAACCCCTGCTTGCTTTATCAGCGGCAGAACCTCCTTTCCTAGAGGAAATGATATTTTTGTGAAGATAATTCGGCTGATATTGCGATAGCTCAGGGGGGCAAAAAGCTGTAGACCCCGCAGGCTGCTGCACTGGGGGTGGTTTATGGTGCTGGGCATGAGAGCAAGAGAAGAAGAGCTGAAAGAAATGCTACTATGAAAAATGAAAGAATAAACCAAAATGCGCCCAACAGAAACACCGCCCTTTCTCTTGCAATGACAGTTGGTAATTGCTGAAACACAGAGAGCCTTAAGGGGGGAAAAAATATAAAGAATTTAATTTATATATAGAAACCAAAACATTTCAGGCAAACAGAAAGCAAATTGCACAAGCCCTTGTGCTGTCGTTTCTCCCGCTCGTGCTGCCTCTGAAGTCGCACTGCTAAGAAATGTATTCCCATTTTTACAACTCTGGCATAAAGACAGGCAAGCGGGAATGGGGAGGGAAAAAAACAAACCCAAAACAAAGGACGTGCGAGTGCTTTCATTTATTTTGATAATCCTCCTCCTGCTCCAGAGCGTTTTGCTGTCTTTGTCAAAGTGAATGACAACAATTTGGCCAACTCTCTCTGAGCTGCACTCAACAGTGACAGGCAAATTATCAGAGGCCCTGCACTCCTTATTATCAGAGGAGAAGTCATCAGGAGGACGTGCGGAGGATCCCTCTCCCCTGTCACTATTTGTCAGTGGGACAAGGGCCACTGCTATGGGTAGCTGACAGGTAATTTCAACAATAACAATTACTCCTATTACTGGTGTCATAAACAATTCGCCCAAGGCATGACAATAGCAAAGCTTTATAATTCAATGCCATATAAATAAATGCCAGCAGGTAACAAGTAATTTAGCTCCAATCAGGCCTTGGCCCTGGCATTAATATTGTTATTGCACGAAAATGGAAAATTGAAAAAATTCAATATGTTAATGAATTAAGAGGGGTTCAAAGGCTAAGGGTGGGGAGCAGTGATCAGGCTGGGGGGGTGTGGGGTGTGTGTGTCAGATGGGAAACCAAAAGCAGCAGAGGCAAAATCATGCTTTCAGAACCGGCACAATACTTGTGTTGGTACAACCTTCTAACTAGCTTTTGATATAAAATGTGGTCTTGTTACGCTGCCTTTCAGGTCAGGGCAAAACACATGCAGGAACCTGAATCCCACCCCTTGCCTCCACATTCCACAATGTGAACAACATGCGTGAAAAAAATAAACTGAATTTAGTAGCTTTATTATAAACAGAATTGTATTTGAAATGTTATGCAAGACATAGATTTAACAAAGGTTAAAGGTTTATTTGCAACTCCGTTGCTTTATTGTCCACTTCTTGCGTTCCTTTAATCTTTTTTAAACAAGCTCTGTTAAATCATTGATTCTCTATTCATCAGGATGAAGGATTTTATTGTATTTTTTCCTCTCCCCAAATGCCCTTCATAGGCCACAACACCCCCAACCCTCCTATGAAAATGATGATCAACAGCGAACGAGACAGGGTCCAATATCTCCAAGTCCAACTTCTTGATCAACCCAACCTGCAATTTTACTATTTGTCCAGCAAGACAATGCGGCATCAGCCTGACAGCAGTAAAAGAATTTGAAAATCTCTAATTAGGAGAGCTGCGGAGCAATTAACGCATGTCAAATTTCACTTCATCAAGTGCCACTCTAATTTTCCCACGAAAAATTAATGGACTTTTTTTTTTTGTATGTGTGTGTGTGTGTCCCCTCAAGGCAATGTTGATTCAAATCTGCTCAAGATGCAGCGTTGCACAGCTAAGCATCTTCTTGATTACAACCCGCCACACTTCTAACTGCTTTCATTCTCACTGCCACAGATACTTTGTCAACAGTCAAATTACGCCATGCTGATAACAATGCATAATGGTCTTCCTCAAAGGAGGCTCCTGTCATGGAGCAGCCTTTCATAAAACCCGACCGGTTTCTTCTCCGGGAAATAGATCTGGCTGAGAAAAATGAAGTTTTTGTGGTTTCAGCATTGGTTGCAACGTAATTTTTTTCCTTCTCTTTCTTTTTTCTTTTTTTAATTCTCTCCCTCATGCAATAATTTATTTATTTTTGAGCTCATCTGAAATTACAGCAGGGAACTGTTTGAAGAGCTATACAGAATGGAAAATATTTATCGTCACTGTTTGTACAGGCTTTGCTTAACCACTTTGGTCCAAGACATTTTAAAGAGCAACATCCTCCTTCCAATACAACTCATTTCTTTTTTCTTCTTCTTTTTTTCCCCCCTTTTCCTTAAGGTACAGGGCAGCATCCTGCACTCTTTGCATAAGCACAAGCCCCGCTGACGTCAATGGGAGTTTTGCCGGAGCGAGGGCTGCGCGCCTTGGCCCACTGCTATAAACACGTTGGGACTTTCTCTTTTAATGGATGGTATTTAGATCCTGAGCAGGGCTTGTTTAACATGCACGTTTGCCAGAGTCCTCAAACGTCGTGGGGCACACAAGACAAATTGCCTTTTTGTCAGAGCAGGGTGGAGGGCAGAAAAAAAAAGCACTGAGCTTCCCCAGCTAGTTTTTACCTTCCACTAAGCCCTCACCCTGTCCCCCCACCAGCCTTTTTCTGGGAGATCAGAGGGTGTCATGCAGCAGGATTTCCAACAAGTAAAAAAGTGGAATTAATAAGAATAACATACTCCAAGGATTTTTCTTTCCTTAAGTTTCATAGTTTAAAAACAGCTGTCTGCTCACAAACTTGGGGAGAAGAGGGGTTAGTACACACAGCCCTTGGCTATCACTGGCCTTTCTGTTGTTAACCACCCCAGTGGTATGGGTAGGGCACGTACTCCTTGGTGTGTGTGAAGCTGTGTATGCCATAAAACAAAGGCAAAACCACACATTGCCTTTGATCTGAGCCATCTTTCCATCAATAACTTTTCTTGCCACAGATAAATGACTGATGTTGCAGTGCCAGGTAACGTGGGCCCTGCTCCACACGATATTTTCCTATATCCTCTCCGTTTATATCCACCCCCTCCCCTCCAGGCATTAACATTTTGTAATTAACTCTCTCAGGTATATTTAGAAATGTGAGATTTGGGGTATTGGGTTACTGGAGTCTGGATATTCCCCTCTTTGTGTCCTACAGCTAGGATGGAGGAATGAGTCTTCCTCTAATGACACAGCCTGGTGCATGCGCGGTCCTCAAGCATCTGCAGACCGACGGCACGGCAGCCACTGGGCCTGCAGGTTAATACATGTATAAGTGAGCTTTCTTTCCTTCATGTCCTTCCTTAAGCTTTAAAAAGTATAGTGTTGCATTCAAACAAAGCAGAGATTATATACTTTGCCTCAACATCCCCTCCTCCAATTTTTTTTTTTTTGGAGGGGGGTGGAACACCAGAAAAATGCCGTCACAAAAATAATAGGCAAGGCCATAATTTAAAGAAAGAAAGAAAAAAATGTGATTATATAACACATCCTGCAGTAATCAATTTTACCTCCAATATCTGCTTTTGTTTTCAAAATGCTAAATAAACAATACATAATGCATCCCTCATCAGCCAAAACCATGAGGGCTCTGTGCTCAAATAACAGGAAACATATTCAATTTTCCTAACAGAAGACAGTTCATTAAGCTGTGCCACATCAAATAAAACTTTAATTTCTCCAGCATCAGAGTCGCAATGAAAGCAATTGAGGAAGATGAGCCATATGGTACTTCTATCAGCAAACACATATTGCTCATTCCCCCAAAGTTTTCTAATTCTGCTCCCCAGACCTGTGTAATATAGATAATGTGCTCTGAGCGCAGCAACCATGAGCTATCTGGTGTACACTTCTAATACTGTATTTAATGGGAAATAATGAATCATAAAAGCCTGCAGAAGACGGCTTTTGCTAACCTAAATCTCAGCTGTAATTTCATTGTTCTGTGCCTAAGATGCTGTTTGCCCTTTTCAAACAACAGCAGTTGAACATAATTATGCTGCTAGAAACCTGGGCTGCAAAAAGAAAGCCTTCCTAATATCACCAAGTTTTTATTAACTCTTGAAATCCTGTGCTTGGGGGAACCGCGGGCAGAGAGTTTAGAACCCTAAAACTCTCTATTAGGTTTTAGGGTTCATTAAAGCACACATATGTGTATATCCCGATTTCCAGCACGCAGCCCCACAAATTAAATTCACGACTCTCACATCGGGCCAAAAAAGCAACAGGAGAAGTCTATGAGAAATTAGGAAATCTTTTTGACATCGGGAAATCCGACACTTGCCTGCTCTAACATCTGTAAGTGCCAAAGCCACAGAACCTAGTAAAAGGGGGATTTTTTTTAAAGGTAAGTCTATTTTTCTTCTTCTTGCCAGACATAAAAATTGCGGTTAGTGCCTTGAGTAAAGGGCCCTCTAAACTTTATGCTGTTTATGCTCTGTTTATAAATCCGTAATGATATTGTAAGGTTAAAAGTTAAACAGTACTGTATTTCCTCTGCCTTTTTCTCATCTGCCTCTTAGAAAGTAACCTGTGTATCTCCAAGGCAGTATTGGGGTTGTTTCCTGAGGAAGCCTATAGGTAAAGAGATATTCACACATTCACACGGGAGGATTCATAAAGGCAGGGTGAGAATATAAAGGTATTATTTTGACATGACAAGCCCTGCTTGGAAAATGTCTTTGACTCATCCAAAGTAAGCCTCTTTCTTTCCTCCCCTCCCCGTCCCCCATCCCCAAAATACGGGGCTAATTTAAAACATTGTCTAGATATGCTACTTATACATATTGAAAACATATTTTAGTGGCTGTGTTTGTTTTGGCAATATATGAACCCCCCCCCCCCAAAAAAAAAGCCAATTAAATTAAAAAGAGCGACTTTTAAAAGGTAGAGATTGCCTTTTAAAAGCTTATTAAAATCAGCATGTTAGATGTCTGTCTTTGAATTAGCTCAGAGGCTTGATTGCTTTCATTAAAGCTGCCTGTTTGGGTGCTGCTTGGTGAATGTTCAAGTCTGTTTTCCCCCCCCCCTCTTCTTCCCCCCGCCCCGAGCTGCTTCTCACTACTTGTCAGCTTGGATTTTCCCTCCAAATTTGAAAGCAAAACTGATTTTTTTTAGAGCAGCAGCAGCCACCCTCCCTTGCAAAGCACAACAAAAATCACCACCAACCCGAGCCAGAGAGAGACCAACAGGTAAAAAAAACCCATTAAAAAACAGCTAAAAAGAAGCAAAGATACCCCCAAAACACCCACCCTGCCCAAACCACCCCCTCCCAAAAATTCTCCACCCAAAGCCACCACAAACCCCAAGCCATCACATTGCTCATAGCCCATGAATGCCTTAAAAACAAATGTTTAAACAGGTTTTTTTTTTTTTCTTGAAGCGGCGGGTAGAAAACCTCTGCATGCTCCAATGGGTTACAATAACAATGCTCTATTGCAATGTAAAACAAGCTGGAGGAGAAAAAGGTGCTTTTTGTTACCATTTTATCAAAGCTGTTCATCTTCTAGCTGCAGGCAGCATTTTGCTGGAATTGCAGATATTTCTCTGTCCGGGCTCCTTTGTTTGTGCATCTCATTTGCATATATTTATCTCCAGCTGAGGGTGCTTTCAGCTCATTAAGGCCTCCCCTCGCATTATTTCATAAGCCAGCTGCTAGGAGGGATTTCACCTGTGGTGACTGAGAAAAGAGGGGTGAAAAAACCAAATTCTTCATCAAAAAAACACAAACCAACAACCAAGGAAATCTTCTGACTCTCTTCCCCTATAAATGGGCACCATTTGTGTTAAACAGCCTCTTGTCATGATAGATGCCTCCTGGGGTCAGGGGGGAAAGTTGATTTGAAGGTCAGCAGTAAAACAACAGACAAACCAGACGCCAAACTGGTTCCTTAGCTGTCGGTGGGAGCAGCGGTACAACCAGGTCTTGAACCTTTTTCAACCTCTAATAAAACAGGGGAAGAATCTGAAGTGGAGCAACCAGGCCCCAGAGGAAAAAGAAAAACCAAACCCACAAATAATATCAATATGGAGCAGCAACGGGAAACAACAGGGCAGCTCTCAGCGTTACGGGCACGCTGCTATTGTTTCAAGAGCCGGGGAATTAATTCCACTTATTTATTTAAGGCGTGTCAACTCGCTGCCTAAACCTGTTTCGGTGTCAAGATGAATAAAACTTTTATGGCTCATAAAATAGAGCCATTCATCTCAATGGTCTTTGTGGTGCCTGGGTTCGTTTTCCTCCCCCCCCCCTCCTCCTGGCAGGCTGAGCTGGGCCGAAATCTTGGCGTCCCGGTGCTACCAGCTTGCTCCTAGGAGCAAAGAGAATTTGGAAGGGGCATTGCAAGCTCAGCTTCTGGGTTTGATTACAAATGGTGAACATTAATTCATCATAATCACGTGCAAAAGCCCCCCCCCTTTATCCCCATCCTAAAACCTACAATGAATTTACGTCATCTATATGGAGCTTTGGACCAACAGGTAATAAAATACAATAAAGCATGCTTTTTATCAGGAAAAAAAAAGTCCCATTAATTATAGTTCATGACTACTCTAAACCAAATGTTCAAATAGTAGTTGGAAATGATGCATAAAATCTCAGCATGTTCTGATAGGTTATAGAGTCAGTGGTTTATTGCAATGTAAAACAAGCCACAGGAAGAGAGGGTGGTTTTGTTTACCATTTTCATCAAAGCTGTTCATCATGTTGATATACTTATGCTATATCGTGACCCCTACATACGTTGCATTTCATTTATTTATTTTCCAGGTTGTTGCCACTTTTGCTGCCTTTGCTTTGGAGAAGTCAAGTAATTCTCTGGCCCCTTTGAAATATGTCTCATCTGCACCGAATTTCTGCCAACAAACCAACCCATAGATACGGATGTAAGAAATATTTATTATCATCGAGTCAGGCTTTCTTTTACTTAATCTGAGGCAATTAGTACCTGAATAAACACAGACTAAGTAATCTACCTCCTCAAAAGGTAATTAGACTTGAAAAGCGCTGTTCAGCTCTACCCAAGGAAAGCACGGCTCTGATTAAAACACTTTGGAGATTCGCTTTCATCCTTGCTGCCTTTTGCCCTGGAAAACCTTTTATAAAATCCTTGTAACTTTTAATTTTTCCCCATACCAAACCTGAGGGCCACTCTTGGCCATTGCTGCCCTCTTCCACCTCCTCAAATCTTTAACCCCGCTTCTCATTTTTCTTTGCCTCTAATCTAATCACTAATTCCTTGGCTTGGCCAAATAGTTAAAAATGTTAAGTGCTGCTCGCAATTCCTGCTGCCTCCCCCTCGTATCTGTCTCTGTTTATGGAATGGGCCCTGGTTTCCTCCTGCTCTTGTTCAGCTGTAGGTCTGCAGGTCAGGAGACTGTAAATACACACAGAGCTGCCCCAACCCATAAATCTGAGCAAAGGGCAGCCTTATATATTCAGATAAGGGATGCAAGGCAGGGGGTGGAGGGGGGTTGAAGAAAAGGAATGGAAGAGAACAGGCAGACTCTGTGATGAAGGAGGCACTTCGCTAGTGACAAAACCTGAGGTGCCAGCAGGCGCTGGGGGTAAGCTCTGCAGGACAGAGAAAGGAAAGCTCTGCTGCCTTGCAGGATGTGCCAGTGAGAGATGAACCTGAGATGTTTGCCCTTCTCCCACCCCTCCTTGTTTATATACAAACCATTACAAAATGCATTTTATTACTTTTGGGGCAACAAAATTAAACAAGAGGTTTTCGATGGCTTTCTCTCCTCCAGACCTTTGTTGGTCTATTCCCCCCCCCCCCCATTTTATTTCCAGCACCTTTGAAGCTTTCAAGGGAACAGTCCCCCCTGTTATTGCTTCTCAGTTCCAAGGTCTTAGAATAAATAACATTGTTATTACTCACTTCACCAATTTCCAAGAAGAAATATTGCTGCAGCAAATGCGAGCAGCACTAATATTTGCAAAGTGATAAATGGATTGTTACATACCTTCCCGTCTGTGTGGCCTCCAGCCATCCTCTGGCCAGCTACATCCCTCCTCAGGGCAGGAGGGAGGGTGCCTTTGAACTTAGCAGGGTCCAGACATTCAGTGCCTTGCACGAGAGCCTGCCCTGAGCCTCCTCCCTTGCCCTCGGATGGAAAGATGATTTTTAATGGCAAGACCACGCAGGAAGTGGTACCGGCACAGGAAAGGACAGGAGCCATGTACTGGCACAAAGCAGCCAAAAGTGAAGGTGCTTTTGGCACAACGATTTTGGTGGGGTTTGTTAGTGCTGTGTGCTGCAGGGAGAGGGGTAAGAGGCTTGGGACATCCCTGCAGGTGTCCTCCCTCACCCTTGCTGGTGCGGAGTACCACATCTCCAGTGTCACAGCAAGAGCCACCTGCCCTCCTCTGGGTGCCAGCGATGTGACTGATTTTATTTCAAACAAAATCTCCAAATCAAATTATTCCTGGGATGCAAGTCAAGCTGAAAAACACCCTGGATGCGTGGTAATTAAAATCTAAGAAAAATATTTTACTTCAGACCCAGAAAGAGTAACCTGCTGACATTCCTTAGACTGAGTCTATTGCATTTCAAAGACATGGTCCACAGGGTAGGGGCTGGAAGGGTTTGATCAGTTGATTTTAATGTCTTGGCCAGGATGAACACCTTCACCTTAGGTTATCCAGGCACCAGATGTGATGAAAAAGCTTGTTAAAAGCTGTGGGAAAGCAGATTTCCTCCACAGAGCAAAACTTGAGCTGCTCTGGGAGCATCATCTCCTTTTCCCCAGCGCTGGTCTGGCATCATCTTTGTGGCTGGAGCACCACCAGGGGTGGTAGGAGTGAAGGGGTGAAGGTATCCTTCATCACATTACCCTCCCTTGCCTCCCTTTACTTCTTAGGAGGCTGGTAGAAGCCCTAGGAAACACTCACCAGTGTGTGCAGGTCTCATGTAGAGGATAAACACGGCATTATCAGCATCTACATGGTGTCAGTTCAAGGTGGGAGGAGGTGAAGGATGCATGCAAAGGTTTCAGCAACCTGGGGTGAAGGTGTTGGCACAGTTTGGCAGTGATAGTACATGGATAAGTCTGTGCCCAAGGGGATGGGGAAGGTGGGAGGCTGAAAGGCTAGGAATATACATTTGTTTGTTTGTTTTCCTAGTGAGTACCTTTATCCATAAAAGAACGAAGAGCTTTATTCATACACTGGGATTCATACACATACATTCTGGGATCCCAGGAAGGAAATCACCCACAAACTGTGGGCAAAGGTACGAAAGGATCAATCAGAATAGGTGGCAAAAATACATGTGACAGTTTTTCCTCCTGGCCAAGGTAAACACCATCTTTTCTTTCTTTGTAAGATGAGAAAAATTAAAAGGAAGGCCGTAAGTTACATGATAGAAAGTCTTTGGGGATAGGCTCTCATGCAAAGTACATACAGTTCAACAGAACCGATAAAATGTTTGGTTTTGCTTTCTGTCTTGGTTTCTGATCGAAAAATTAGGATACATTTTTATTCATAATGCTTTCTCATAAATGTATATGTGCACGTGTATGTTTATACAGCTGTAATTAGGCACATACCTATATGTACATGCATACATAGATACGCACATATTGCCTATTTGTAGCTGTACAAATGTACACACATTAATAGGTGCATGTGTACACACACATACACAATGTACACTCACACCTACATGTGCATGTTATACACACACCCCTAAAGCCCCAGCTTGCCACAAGTGAGAAACAACAAGGGATCCAAAATTATTTAAGGGAAAAGTGATGAAAGCAAGTAAGAGCTGGGGCAGTGGCGTTGTGGGGAGGAACCCTACTGCTTGGAAACATCCAGAAACCTCCCTAACATCTACCGGCACCTTTCCCAATGCCAGGAGCAGCCCCGGGAAATGCTGCTTGAGGCACTGAGGGCTGGGAGTGCCTCAAGACCGTGTTTTCTTGAGCGTTTCCTGCCAGGCAGGAAGCCCTGTGAGAGCAGCATTGCTTGTGCTGCTCAACTTCCAGCCCCAGGCAGCACGCAGGTAGTAAGAAAAAAACCCAAATAATTGAATAGATACAAAGCATCTACATTTGTATGAACAGCAAGCTTTCAAAGGGGGAAAAAAATCAGGTCTTCCTTTTTTTATTATTTCTTTTCCTCAAACCTCAGAAAAAAAAATTAATGTCAAGGCAGTTCTTATTTTATCCAGACCAGTTCATAAATCCCAAGTCATAAATCCACATGATATCCCGGGCTGCTGGATTTTGCATTTGGAGCTCTGAAAGACCGATAGCTGAAAGATTTATAAAATCCCAGGTAGCCGGAGTGCTCCCTATTGGCTCCACATCTGAGGGGTCCCTGCGTCCTGCTTAGCCCAGCAAGCTGGATGTATGGGATATATTGTGCTCGAGCACCAGCCCCCTCCCGACCCCCACATCTCCTATTTTCAGCTATGGTGAAGGCTAAAATTTGGTCATTTGAGGTGGATGGGCCCTGTTTAGGGACCTTTCCACACAGACATAGGGACAGACAGAAGATGGGGATGCCGGGAGCCTCCTGCAAAATAATACCATGGATTATGTTTTAGATGTATGATTTAGCTTGCATGGGAGACCTGACTATAAACAGCAGAACTGTTTCAGTTGCCTTGAATATACATTTAATTTTGCTCCTTGCAACGTCACTGAATAGGAGTTCAGAAAGAAGAGGATATCACTTCTGGGGCCAGAAGATAAGGTACTTAGAGGGGAACAGGACCAGTCTCTTAGCAAGAAAATAGTAGCTGAGGTGCTTCAGACAAAGTACATGCTGCAAGCAATTTAGCCAGCAAAGCAGCATGTTCATGTTCCCCAAAGTGCGCTGAAAGATGCTGATGTGGTCTTTTTCATAGGTTCAGTGCATGCGAGACCATGTGTCCTGGGACAGAAGTCCCCCAAAACAGACCCTCTGAAGAGTGACGGGTACTATTTGTCTGCATCCATAGGATGCTGAAAACACACTTAAAACCTTCCCTCAATTACTTTCCTCTATCCTTCCTTGATGACCTTATTCAAACTTAATATTTATCTCCAGGCTTGCAAGGACAGACATTTTTAATATGCTTCTGTTGCATTAATAAAAAGATTTAAAAAAGCCCCTCTTCTGCAGTTACAAGAGTTTCTTTATAGCTGTGAGGATATTAAATAACATCTTTGTTACTGAGAAACAAAATTATTTGCTTTATGTTTGAACTATTTATGGGTCTGAATTCATTGACGTCTATGAAGGAAAATCCTCCTTCACCCTCCCAGGGAAGGGCAGTGGATTCAACCTGAAGCCAGCTCTGTCTGGCTGGTCCTTTATTAGAAGCACATTGCTCAGTTAAATTTAGGTATTTTTTATGGGGTTTTGTTGTTGTTGTTTGTCTGTTTGTGTTAGTGGGAATTAAAGCATTGCAAGTTTATGCTTCCTGCGTTTCGAGAGTATCTGCCTTTGACCATCCACCTTAAGCAAGCACCGTGAGCAGATTGGCTTGCATGCCACTGATAGCTGCCTGCCTCCAGCACGCTTTCTCCTCATCAAAATCTCCAGGTTCATTAGAAACAGTTACTCATTTAAGAGGTCAAACTAAACCAGACACAAACAGACCAAAGCATTTACGTTAGGACTATGTCAGACTCACGGCAGGAGAGGTTCTCCCTGGTTATTCTTGAAATCCAAAGCTTTCCCAAGCTTGTTAGTGGCTCCCACGAGGTATCCTTCCCCCTCTCAAGCAGAACATACTTCTTTTTAAACCTCAAACTCCCATGGACTAAATTTATGCCGTATTTCATCTTTTTTTCCTGCTTTGTTACTCTTTATCTCTCTTTCAGCTGGGTTTGACTCATCATGAGTTCACAGCTGTTGAATGCAAGGCGGTGTGGCTAGGGATGGGGTTCAAAAGTGCTGCCTGGACCAGTTATTGCCCAGCCCATCCAGGCTCTGGGCTGCACCATTACTTAATCCACCCTGGCCCTACAGGCCAGGTAGCCCTGTCCTGCTTGGGAATGCTGTTTTGCCTCTTTGGCATTTATAGCATCTTTGATGTTGTTCAATGCTCTACAGGCACTGGGTTCGGTAGCTTTGCTTTTCTGTACACGCCCTAGCCCCCTGACTTTATTGATGCCATTTGTGTTGAAATGATAAGGTGGGATTTGATGGTTGCTCATCAAGAGATTGGGTTGAAATGAGTCCCCTGGTGCAGAGGAGCTACTACAGCAGGGTGAAGGGCAAAAGCTTGCTACCGTCTGTTGACCAGCCCCTTCCCACTGCCTTTCCACTTGCGGTACCTTTGGGAGCAGAAGATTTCTTTCTCTTTCCAAACAGAAACTTGGGATGTAGCCTCTGACCAAACATTAATTTTTGTCTGTTTTAAATGTGCAAGTTATCTTAAAGTTTCATTTTATTAAGAACATCCACAATAGCTCTTTTCTTCCCTCTTTTCTTCTGTTTCCAGTTTGCTAATTAAAAATGCTGTACAAGGACTAGTATTGAGCTATAGAAATGAAAGGTCAATACATGAACAACTCTTCATTTGTAAATAATACAGCTCTGTAATCAATTATCTCATTTTCACAGAAGACATATTAATCTAAAAGCAAAGGATGGAGACATTTAGAAGATGTACAGAGGGGATCTTTAAATGTTAAATGTTCTTTAGCATGTGCTAAATAAAGGTTTGGCAGAGTGAAAATGTAGTGCACAGCACTGACACTCCAGGGAGAGCCTTTAGGTCAAGTGATTTGTACCTTCAAAATAGTTCTCCATAGCACTGTAAAGCCTCTCTGTTGGTAGCAGTGAGATGGGTTAGCGTCATTTAGGATGATAACTGTAGCAGGGAAGAATACTCAAAAATTTAAGAAAGGTCAGCTGCTAAAAGAAAAAAAGAGTGTATTTTAATAGGTGAATCAGTCCTTTTCTCACTGTTATTTGCTTTCCATGAGCAGTGGGAAGGGAGTTTTCTGCCCCTCCTTTTCCATAAAAACAGACTTCTGGACTGGAGCTGAGACACCCATGTGAGAAGCTGCGTGGCCAAGTGCCCTCAGTACCTGGGGCACAGGCAGGGAATCACTGCTCTGGGTAATACAGCATCCCACCGGAGCCGACGTGGGTTTCTTTCCTCTTCCATGGGTCACAATGGGAATCCACTAAAGGTTTTAAAGGTAGAACAGTTCCTGAGTGTTGGAGATCTTGTACACGACTCATAAACATGTTAGGGGAAATTACAGGAAAATGCATTCCCCAACCTAAAAACAGCTTAAGCTTTCCATCAAATGGAAAGAAAAGGCTATTGCCAGCTCTGCTAGGAGCTGGGTCACTTCGTATGCTTGTTTACTGAATTTGACAACGTGGAGATGGTAGAAGTGGGATGAATGTAATTTCATTTTCATTTTTGCCTGTTTGCGTTGCATTTGCTCTATGTCAGTCCCGCGCTCACCCCGGATTGCCAGCTTTAGAACTTCTATTGAACATGTGTTGGGACTTATGGGGAAAAAGCCCCACCCCACCCTCCCCAACTCTCCCCACCCCCAGTTCTCACCAGTCAGTTGATCTCATACCATCCCCTGCGTTGACCTCCTCTGTCCATCGCTGGGTGGGAGGAGCGCGGAGCAGGGCCCATGGGTAGAGCCCCACCAATGCGAGCCCTTGTGCGAGGGGAGGGTCTCCCTCCCGCTCCCCTCTGCCACAGTCCTCTCTCCCCTGCTCCCACACCTCCCATCAGCCAAACCCATTGCCTACCAGGAGAAAGCTAACCCCTCCCCCCCCTCCCCTTCCCCCCCCCAAACTAAACCAAAGACAAAAAAAACACCCACAAACGGAAAATGGGAATTGTTCTCAGCAGGCTTCACAAGCCAAACCACCTCCCGGGGGGCCAGGGAGTGCCCTCCCACAGGGGAAGCTTAGGGAGGTGATACCCCTATGGGCATCAGTGGGGTTAAGGTTGGCTTCAATGTTTTGCCTCACTCCCCTCCATAGTCTTATTGTTTGTCACAAACAGAAATGCACCCTTGGCACAGGATGATTTAGCAAGGCATCATCCCAACTCCTTCCCAGCCGGCCGGGGGGGACTGGGGCAAAGAACCAGGACCACCAACACCAGCAGTGCGAAGGAGGGAGGGCAAGCCGTGGTGTAGGGATCTCCACTGCCTTTTCTCTTCTGCCTGACAGCAAGGGTGAATGTCTGCAACGGCAAAATCCTCACAAAAGTCTTGTTTTGGCTTGCGCGGCAGGAGCGCTGGTTGTGGAATTGGCATTGCTGAAGGAATGGCAGGCTGGCGACGCGGCGAGCCAGGAGCCCTGTCTGCATCGCAGCAGATACTGCGGTGACGCACGAAGTTATTCGCTTCTTCTTTAAAAATGAACCTTAGGTTAGGATGGAAAAAAAAGATCCCTAAACCTAAATATTTCCAGGTTTGCTCACCCCCATGGGTTCAGAGCACGCTAGAGCTGCTTGACCCACAGGAACTTTCAAAGTGCTCCGCGAGCCGCCGTGCCAAAACAAATGTTACTTTACCATCAAGTAGGCAGGAGAATGAAAGCTGTAAGATGTGTGAGTGAGAAAAAAGGAGCCAAACAGGAAAACCCCTTTCTTCTGATTTTAAAATCCTGGATGATCAAGTCTGTTCTGCTCGCTCTGATGTAATCATTTTGCAGATACCCAAATACACATCCTGCCATGGAAAGTGCTCTCCCTTTGATTCCAGGAAAATCCTTTCTAATTCTCTTTAAATGTTCCAGGGCTTTTTGAAATGATTGCTGTCAATGCCAACCAAATGCTTTAGATGTCTCTTTTTTTTTTCTTTTTTGCCTGTCTTTAAATACTTGCCTTATTTTTATGCAGCCCAGTTACCGCTGTACAGTGAAAAAGTACCTAGAAAAGAGATCTGGTTTGCTTTAGCCTTTATACCATATAGAGTTAAACACTTTAACCTTTCTATTTACTTAGTTGCTTTAATATGATTTCTGTAACCCCTCTACTTTATTTGTTTCCATATAACTTCTTAAATATTTATAACACAGTAGCCCATACACATCCTATATGACAGACTTTTACTACATTAGGCTTGCCATAGCTATCTAGTAAATCATAAGTCACATTCCCCCTTAAAGTTCAAAACCAGGGTTGTTCAGGTGAACTTGGACTGAGTTTGTGAGGGACCAGCTCAAAAAAACCTGGGTTGGTTAAAACAATAGATAGATTTGTTTAACCAGAAAATAATATCTCCCCTAAGGCACTAGCTCTGCAGTATTTACCATGGCTAGGAACACTGCTGGATGGTGTGCTACTCAATCCATGCTCTTCAGTTGCTCTGAGGTGGGTATGTGACCACAATTCAGAGTGATACCTCTTCCAGTCCAGTTTTAAGAAGGCCATGAGGTGGGCCTTCAAGAATCACAAAACGCTCTCCAAATCCATGAGATTAAAGAAGAGCACCATTTGGGGCATCTTTGGGATATGTTATTCCTCTTTTTTTTTAATTTTTAGGATTTTAATTTTTTTAACCAGTCATTTAGGGATTATTTTACATTTTCCTGGAAATTGTTTTTCTCCTTTAATTACAAGATGCCAGAAGCAGAATCTAGAAGAAAACCACCAACACACATGTGACTTATAAGAGAGCCCTGATGTCTGCTATATAGTTGGACATTTCACCTTGCAGTCAGACATAAAATTTTACAGGTAAATAAAATACATTGAGCATATTTATTTTTCAACCCCCTAGATATTTTATTCAGTGCTTTTTGGATCTTACCAGATTTCACTGCAAGCCAATATTGCTTCTTCATGCTGTCTGAATGGTGTCCCAAATTGGACAGAAGGGATTAAGGCTGTGGGTACTGGTGACCTCGCTTGTGCCAAGCAAGGCCAACAGCTCCTGAAGCCATGAGGATGGTGCTGCTGTTACTTCCACTGCTATTTCTCCATTCAGTCCACCCCTTGCTGAGCCATGGCTGTGCATCATTTCTCCCCAGCATGAGCCCTCATCACTTGCTGCTGCTCCAATGCCCCACATACCCCATCCCAGCATGATGTGAGGTGCCCAGCTCTGAAAAAAAGCCTTCCCTGGATAGTCCACCCTGCCTCAGTGGAGCTGCCTTGATTGAGGGTGAGATCTCTAGCGTCTGATCCCTTCTGTCCTTGGGTAGGTTTGCACACACATGTGCTGGGTTCCCAGCCCTGGTGTCAAGTTTAGAAAGAAAAACCTCTTCCAAGCTTCCTTCCCAATGGGATCATTTCTACAGCTAATGTTCCTTCATGCACTGTCTGCTGTGCTGCTATTAAAGCACAGCTTGCCGACAACTGGGGAAGAAATACGCTCCCCACATTGCAATGCTTCCTCTACCCAGCTCAGCATCAGGAACCAGGCAACTGGGGTGGAGGGTGGCTGCCTCTCACCCTCCTTCCTCCAGATAAACTTTCCCTCTAGAATGAAAAATGGTCATTTGTGTTTCAGCAGACCATAAAAACCCCGTTTGAAAACTTTTCAAGCCTTTTCCAAGTTGGAACCGCCTTGAAAGACTTCAGACCACATTGCCATATGCGCTGGTGGCATATGGTTTAATGCACGCTATGCTGCTGCTCCTCCACTGCCGCTGCCTTCCCCTCCCATGACAGGACCAGCAATGCTGCAAGGATGTATTTGCTATAGGATGCTCCTTGACATCTTCTTACATATTCTCCAGTTCAAAGCTGCCGCCTTCTCCAGTCGTTTGCCATGGTTATGCTCCCAACAAGCTGGTGGATGCTGCCTGCACCTCCAGGTACACACAACTCAACACACACAGAAACAAGTGTCCTCTCTCCCACCATAACATGTTTCTTCCTCCTTTTCCAACAACCTCCACAGGAAACATTTCAAAGCAAACAAAATGAGTACTCTGCTTCAGCTGGAAAGTTTTACTTCATTTCTTTGTTTTGAACCAAAACTTCTTGGATATTTGTTTTTTTCCCTCCTCTTTCTTCTTGCTTTCAAACAGAATGAGCCATCCATGTTTCCTTTATTTTTTTTTTCTTATTTTTAACTTCTTATTCCTCTCCTTCTCCACTCTCCTTCCTTTCCCTAGTTCCCTTAATTTTACCCTGCCTTTCCCAGTCTGGAAAAAACAAGTATGAAATGATATGAAACTCTGTAATTGCCTCTCTCTGTGATTTCAAAAATAAAACCAAGACTAATTGAAAAAGATGATGAAACACTTTATTTGAGAGGAAGGCAGGGGGAATAATTTTCCTCATCTCAAAAATCCTTGCTTGGCTCTAGGGTTGGGATTTTTTGCTTCCACAGTTAATTTTCAGAGATATTAAAAGACACTGAGCTGTCTGTCCAAAGTGTGCCTGCTCCAGTTTCATCATTTAGGCTGCAAAACACTGGGACTTCATGGCACTGATGTCCCCAGGACCGTGGCTGTCACAAAAGCCTATGTCATGATGACATCTGTGTGGACCAGGCAACATGAAAGTGCCAGTATACATTATACAGCATGGGTATAGATAGACACAGAGAAGCTGCATGTTAAGTGCTTTCATCTGCCCTCAGTTTTTGCATTTCATCTGCTACAGGTGTCAAAACAGGGGCAAGTTTTGAAGGGAGGATTTGAAGAGAGGAGCAATAGCTTCACAGAACCAGACAGCTTTTTGCAGAAGGCAGCAGTGATGGCTTTTGCTTGGGCACTGCAGGCAAGAGGTGTTACTTGGCATTCAAAAGAGATGCTTTTTTTGGGCTGCCCTAGGCTTTCCTTATCTTCCAAAAAGTTCTCCTCCTCTGTGGCCTGCTTTTAATGGAGATTTTTGTTTAACCAGAAATCCAAGGGTTTGCTGCAGGATGGTTCTGATGGAAAATTTCTAGCCTGCACCTGGCATAGAGGTTGTCACTGGGGAGCACCTGGGCAGCACACCCTCAGACACCAAAAGCCAAGAGGATGCTGGGGTTGGGAGACAACGCTGCCAGGCTTTCATTGCGCTGTGTTGCACGCCTTTCCCCAAACAGTGCCACAATGTCGTGGGTGAAGCCTTGAAAAAGAGCATCCTTGTTTTCTGTTTTCCTTTTCATCATCTAACATCCGTAACACCACACAGAAACTGCAGACAGCAGATCAGCTCCCCACATTTTTGCTGTGAGCTGCCCGAACACTGCACACAAACAGCCCACGAGCATACAAGACATTTATATCCAAGAAATTTAACACAATATCGATCTGAGAGAAATCTGTGCCTTGCAAGTGCACTTGTTCAGGTAAGTAATGTATGCAGATACAGTCAAGCTGTGAAAAAGAATAAAGATTACGAGCATTAATAATGATAACAACAAACCACCACCACCAGAAATCCTCATCAACTGGACATCGGGTGAAATGATACCAGACAAGTCTTGTCTACAGGGAGATTGTCTTTGCGGCATGATTTCTATTGAAGTTAAGGTTGAAATCTGTGTGCTTTGTCCAAGCCATATAACGGTTTTATTTAGGAGATACCTTTGACTGTACCTCAGCTGGCCCTGAGTGCCATAGGTGTTAGCGAGATCTCAACAATGATCACAGGACAGGGTCCAAGGCTGGGATGAACCATGGGGAAGGCGAGTTGGCAGCAGGTCACAAAGCTCTTGGAGGAGCAAAAATTCCCTCATCTGGCTTCAGCATGCTTGCTCCAGCCAAAGAGTAGCACAATGGCACTGCTTCAGGTAATCAGCAATAGGAGAAACCCAGAAACCAAACATTTGTGTTGAAAAGGCAAGCAGGACATTTCTCCCACCTTCACCTTACTGGCTATGGAAAGCCATTAACGAGGGGGCTATGTCCCAGATATGTCTTTCTCCACTCATAACGAATACACTTTTTTGCACTCATAAAACCAGTACTTCAGCAGTTAAACTAATAAGAAGACATTAAAAACGTCTTTCCAAGGTTGTGTCTCAGAGGTTAAGGACTTGTTGATACACTCATGTCTCACACATGAACCTTGCTGCTCATGTTCTGCACCAACACTGAAGTGCACTATGTGAAGCTCTCCTGACTCTTTTCCTCCTCCCCTTCCCTCCCTCCCTCCTCCTTCTTTTAATAATTTGGTTTGGGAAAGAAGGAAGATGGGCGATCTTTCACCTCACTGAATTGTCACAATGTGTGGTCATGACATTGCTGCCTGCCGCAGGCTCATGGTCCCATCAGATGTCCTGGGATTGAGACCTATAAGAAGTTCTGACACATATTTACCTTCAGCTTTTTGCTGCAACAGGTCATCGTTGTGTTATCCTGCTCACGGTTAATATATGGCACTGCTCTTGAACCTGACTGGAGCACAGATTTCCATGGCGTAACACACAAAGAATAAACAGGCACTCTCTGTTTTCAAAACCTTCAGAAAAGGCAGCTCCTATGGGATGAATGTCTCTTTATTTTCCATGTACCAATCTACCCTCTTTTTCATGCCGCCAGTGTACTTTCCTCTTCTATCTTATGCACCCCCACTAAAAAATGACAATGAGAGAGGGTCTATATGGGTAATGCATCACTCCTTTAAAATTTATCAGCTCTGAGGTTAAAAAAAAGCCTTTTTTTTCCCTACTAAAAGGGATTTTTATATCCAAAGACACAAAGGTAATACCCACTGCATTGTAGCTTCAATCTTTTTTCTTTTTCTTCCCCCAACAATGGTGAAAAGATGTGATTTTTACAAGCGAATAGGAAGAAAAAGCCTGAACACACCCTGGGAACATGTTTAAGAAGTTGATTTATGTTTCATGCTGAGCCTTACACCTGCAGTTCAAGCAAAACTCAACTTTGCCGCCCCACAGAGTCTAGTTTATTAGGTATCAAGGAGTCACAAGAAGCCATGTAATTAAAACTGTAATTAACTGGAAAAGGAAAGTGCCACCTGAGTTTTGAGAGGCTGTCAATTTTATTTCCATTACAGCTCTCCTTCTGCTTCTTTTGTCTATAGAGTGGGTTTTTTTTCACCTCATCTTGATAAGGAAAAACAAACTTGTTTTTTTTTTAAATCTTTTTACTAACTAAAGAAGCACCAAATTCTCTTAGGTCTTTACTCTTGGGAAAAAAACCAAACCGCTCAGTTTTGAGCTCGGATGCAGGTTTCTCACAGCGGCATTTGCAGCTGTGTTTGCCAACAGGTGTCAAGTGTGGTCCAAGGCAGAAAAAAGCCCTGAAATGTCCTACTGGCGGAGGGTCAGATGAGTTCAAAGCCCATTTTAACAAAACATAATCAATGCCCTTTAAAAAGGGGGATCGGCGGTGCCTTGTTAAAATGCATGACCTTGCTGTGGCGGGCAAGCCAAGCGCCAGGCGTCCCTGGATCCAGCACGTCCCTCCGAAGGCTGCTGGATGCTGCCAGAGACCACCGCAGTATTCCTGTGGGCAGGACAAGGCCACACGCAGCAAGACAAAAACACGTCTGGGAGAAATACGAGGTGACGTGAGGAACCTTGTCAACCAGAGGAATGAGAAGCCAAAAGGGGCCCAATCCCCTGGCCAAAGGAATAAATCTCCCATGGATTTGGGTGGAATGTGCTGCCAGCCCTGTCCTGTCTCTACCTAGTGCATCCACCAGGAAAAATTTCCCCGGGGATCAGAAAGTGGTGCCAGAATAAAGAGACAGTTATTTCATAAGATTTAAAGAAGCAAAGGCTTAGGTAAACAACTGAGGAAAGAAAGTCATAGTAATACACAGTTAAAGACAATCACCTAAAAGGGTAAAATAAGAACAAAGACAGGATCTATCTTAAAAGTCATTACAAGGGAGATTTATGAACATATATATAACTTTTTGTAGAGGAAATGTTTGTCTTAGGCCAGTGCATGAAAAGGAGATTGACATTCTTCCTTCTCCATTTAACCGGGGACAGAAGTCCATCAAGTGAAGTACCAGCCTTGAGAATGAAAGTTATTACTGCAAAAAGCAATTTTCCTTTGGTGCCATTCTGATAGGCTTGGGTTTCTTTTTCCCCACCTTGCCCCAGCTTGCAAGGCAGAGGTCTCAGGACCCTCTGGGTTTGAAGGCAGATCCTGATCAATGCTAATTTGGGGAAGTGAGCTGGAGGTACCCACAGCAGATGATACACAGGGCTCAGCTTCTTATACAGCTACAAGTCAGCAGGGGCACCCCCTGACCATCTGTGGTCTATAAATTACAGTAACACCGGCACACACTGCTTGTAAATCACCAATGAACAGGCTTTACCTTATGACACACTGCATGAACCCTGTTGGATATTCCAATAAACTCCCATAAACCATCCGATATAAACTCTGGATTATGTTTCTTTGGGGGGCAGGAGAAAAAACCTGGACTTTTCTGCACTTGCACAAACTTCTTATGGGTGAAATGAAGATGCACCCTGAGCTGTGTGGTGCATTTATATATCAAGTTTTCTTATGCAACAGATTTGCCACCCTCGCCATCATTATTATCATATATATTTCACTTTCCAAGAGTGCATCGGCCTCGAGGTAAATGAGGTCGTTGCTCTCCTGAACAAAAAAAAGACACCAGTCACTTCAAAAATGCTATTTAACCACTTTATAGAGGGTATGGCTGGCTTGAGGTCATGCGTTAGCTCTTGCTCCTACAGAAGCAAAGGACACATATGAGACACTCCTGTTAACAGCCTATGCTCAGTGCAGCAAGAATACTATTTCCACCACCTCTGCATGATGAGGGCTAGAGCTGAAGCTTGCTACCTCTAGAAGGACAGGCCATACAATAAGAGCTCCTCACTTGCTTCTTTCTCCCTGTGAAGTTGCTCTTTTACCCTGATCTGGCAATGGGGTGGAAGGTTCAGTGGTTTGACACACCATCAGATCTCCCCATGAGACACACTCCTGCCACCCAGCTTGGTTTGGACGGGTTTTACCTGCCGTGATGTTTCATGGAGGCCATGTCTGCAAGGAAATGCTATCAGCAGTCTTGGCATGTGGCCATGTGCTCCTCAGCCCATTGCTGCTTGGGGCTACAGACACTGCTGCTTCAAACTTCTTCCCCAAACCCATCAAAGGACTGCTATTGACAATTATGTTAGTAAACCCTATGCCTAGCCTGTCATCTGGCCAAAATAATGTTCAGTAAAATAAGTTATTCAGATTGTGGGGTGTATACCATGTAAACAATGTGAGAAATGTTATTTGACAAGCTTTTTTGCTGACCATGAACAAATGTGGGCTGTAGTGCAGACAGCCATCAATGGCTGCCTCATGACTCCTTCGCAAGTTCCTTAACTGAATCTGAAATCCCAGCCCCTCTCAGAAGGCAGTAGGAGCAATGCAGTCCTCTTAGTCACGCACATATAAGCCTTCTAAGACAACATTATTTGTATCTTGGTTTCTTAAGACTGTAGGGGCTGGCTTATCACACTCTGTGTGGACGGATGGGTGTGTGGGTACACACCTGCATCAACACATGCTTTTAAACCCAAGGGGTGACTGCAGACAAACTGGACAGATATTCCCACCTCATGGAGACAGGGAGCCAAGGCAACATAGCTGCCTCCTGTGATGACAATGTGATGACAGGGTGCTGGGACAACTAGGCTGCATCACGTTTTGCCAAGAAAGGTTGGACCAGATGACCCTTGAGGTCCCTTCCAACCTGGGATTCTAAGATTCTATGATTCTGTGAACCCAATAATCTGTAGACATCAGAGAATCCAATTCTGTAAGAGTAATCCACGGGAAAATACCCTCCCCTGCTCCCTCTGGTTGTGAGTGTCCAATTAATTAATAGTCATTAATACTGCTCCTTTTTTTTTCAATTACATCCCAGCTGTGAGATACACACCAGAAAACATTTAGTCTAATCACAAAACTCGGTAAAAGCAGTGACTATGCTCTCTAGAGGTACCAGGACCACCAGCCTTTCATGATCCCAGTGTTGCCCACCAATGCTGCACCTGACTGAAACACTGAACAGTCTCAGGAGCAATTTTTAAATCACCAGAAATGCACATTCAAAGTATTTATGAATCTAGGTTGAGGCTGTCTAGCTAGTTTAGCTTCAGGCAAAAGTAGTGAATAAAGTCAAATCAATTTTTTATCTATTTAATTCAAAAGAAATCCCAACTATTTGAATGTTAATTTAAATTTTCCTGGCAAAACCAAATGAAACCAAACCAAACCAAAAAAGTAGGATAGTTTAAAATATATAGATGTGAGCTCAGACAAATGCCTTGTGATTTTGGGGGAGGGAATTCTTGCTTCGTAAACTTTCTAAACCGGAACTAACACACAAGGAGCATCTTTGCAGCACTTTTCCATCCAGCAGGTGAACTCGAACCCCAGTTTGTCACAGTGAGGCAGTGGGAAGCCCCAGATGATGTATGGACATCATAGCACTGGGGCTCTCGTGAGCTCACCCATGAAAATCCCCCTATATGCCAGTTGTTTGTCTCTACCTTTCTACTGCCCTCTCCATCCATTGCTTTCTGTGTACTCCGACAAGAAGTGATAGTGCTATTTCTGTTTTTTAACAAGATTTGGAAAGCATTCAAGTGCCTGACTAAGTGGTTGGAAACAAGGAAGCAGAAGGATGTTTTGGCATCCTGCGATGTGTGCATGAAGAGCATAGACACAAACACATTGAGCACACATACTGTAAAACACGATTACAAGGAGAGTACGAACTAATAAAAGCCTATTAAAACATCATGGATGCTATTGCTGCTCGCGTGCACGCCTATGTATTAAAATAACAAATATTTCATGTGACCGTGCAGTTTGAACATGACTGATCACAGATATAACTTTCAGCAACCTTTAAATACATAATGCCATCCTGTAATTAATGTAGCCTATCCTGAAATTTGAGGGATTTATTGACACGGGCACAAACATTTGCAAATAACCTGGGGAAGTTCATGACATACCTGCTATCTCAAGGGATTTCCTTTATTTTTGCCCTTTTTTTTTTTCCAGCTACCATCAATAAATTCATTCAGATCCCTTACCACACAATGACAAATGCAGTTGGAAATCCTCAGTAGAAAGGTTGAAGAAAGTATCAACATGGACAAAGAGCCTCATTGTGGTTTTATTTGTTGTGTTCTGAAATATATATAACCACATCCAAGGGGATTGCTTTTGAGGTCTGCAGTGAAAAAAAAAGCAAAAGACCATAGGCAAAGCAAGCTGCAAAAGGATTTCATCTAATTACTCAGGAAAAAAACATGGCCAACCCATTAGCTCCTACCCAAGCACAAGGTAGGCTGCTTCTGCTGACATATTACTTACTGGTTCAGACCAAGCACACGTGTATGGAGAGGTTACATGTTTTATAAGGTCAAATGATACAGCTGGGGGAAAAAATATTTCAATACAGTGCTTTCCTGGAGGAATGAAGGTGTGAACACCCTCAGCTTTGGTTAGTACTGGTTAGTAGGGTGGCCAACGAAGGAGAGATGAATCCCAATGGTGTGTACGTGTTCTTCATGTTCTACAATAACTACAGTTACTAAACTTGGTCATGACCCTTCAAATAGTAAACTTAAAATTTATGCACTGACGAGGAGAAGAAATATCCCATCACGGTCACTGCCCATGGCAGGGGGTTGGAACTAGATGATCTTAAGGTCTCTTCCAACCCAAACCATTCTATGGTACTATGATTTTGCCAGGAGAGGCAAAATATTTCCATACCTGAGGTCTGCACAGTGCCAGGACATGGTCAAAGCATCCAGAGCATCAGATGGCAGATTATTGTGCTGTTACCAAGCTGCATCTAAGTAGGTTACTGGAGCAGACTGGCACATGTTCCCACTCGCTTGATCTTCACATTCCTGCCTGGTTTGTGTGGGACTACGTTATCATCAGGAGGTATTTCTGCCCTTGGGTATATACATTTGTACACACTTACATACGTGGGGTTAAAGATGCTAAGACAAAAGAATAACATTTGTTTTTGGAAACTGTTAAATTTTTAGCTCTTTATTCTATCTCTCTAGGGCCTAAATTTGAGGTTTGATCTCACATGACAAGTGATCAGTTCGTACAAAAATGATGATTTGTACAAAAAAAGGCCATCAATAGCTGAAAAATTCCCCAAAATGCGCTTCTGAACTACTTGCTTCATTGACATGGAATTCCATCTCAATCAGCAAGCAGAGCCAGAGTGCGGTATGGCTTCGCATAAAATACCAGGGGTGCCTCAGCCCTCTCACAGGCTTCTCCATCCCTCCCACCCACTCCCCACTGTACTGCATCGAGTGCCTCAATGTCCCCTCACACTTTACTTTCCTACATCATCAAACACTTCCAATAAAGCAGTTTCTCCAACTCAATGCCCACTAGCCTCTGCTTCAGTAAACTAAGGCTTTATTTTTTGGGGGGAAAATAGCCATTTTAGGTTCTATCATGCTGTGATTGCTACCACCTGTAGGGAGAGAGAAGGTAGACACCGGCTAAATGTAAAAGGGCATTTTTCCCCTCCAAGACAGAGGAGGAAGAAATTGCGCATCAGGAACACCAGTGCTCCTTGCTGACTCCTGTCTGGCTGTGGTAGGGATGAGGTGACAAACCGAAACAGGCATCCCTCATACCATAAGGGGCAGGAGGGTTCCTGGCTGCCCCAGGGGGAACTGGGGAGCTGTGCTGACGCCAAGAGCTTGGGAAGGGTTTATCCCACCAGCAAGAAGTTCTCCCTAAAAATGTGCACAGGAAGCTTCCACAGGAAGCATCACAGGTAGAGATTTTCCACATCTCAAGGGGAAACTAGTTGAAATGGAATAAAAAATGGGAGTTTAGCTTCTCACCTTCTCCCACTGCTTTTATGTGCTTTCAGTGTTTATTTCAGTATATTTACAGATACTGGTGAAAAATAACATTGAGTCAAAATCCACCTCTCAAACTTGTTCAGGTGCCCAACTTCAGAATGCTTTCAAGGTGGAGCAGAGTGCCGGGGTGTGAGCTGAGGCTGCAATCTGAGAGGACCAACAGCAAATGGGATCCACCAAATTAGTGTCCTCCCTTCTTAATGCTTTTACGGGAAAAATGGTTGTGGGCTTATTTTTTTCTTGACAGGATCATGGATAAAACTGATGCTGCTGCAGGGAAGAGAAAAAAGACCAGCTGAACAAAACCGGCAATGGGCATTTCTGTTGCGGGAAAGCCCAACACCTTGCCCATTAGGAGCGGAGCTCCCTTCTCCATGCCAGCTTTCTTCCAGCCTCAGTCCCTACAGTGCCCAGAAGAGCCATTCCAGGGCCCCTGAGCCCTCAGGAGCAGTGTGAGAAGCCTGTCGTGCCGCCCCTGAAGGACCGAAGTTGTCAGCTGCAAGGATGAAGAATCTGAGGTTGGCTGTCGGAGCACTTCGAACTCAGGAGGGGTTTGGAGGAATGCAGGCTGGGGTTACATAAAACACTGACTCATGCTGAGAAATCACGAGTTTTGAAAGATTCAGCTGAGGAACGAGCAAAACCTCAAGCTGCATGTCGCTTACAAGTCAACAGGAACCAGTGGATGCTGGGGACCTCTGAAAATCAGGCCTTGGCATGGGGCTTTTTTGAAGTCCTTCCACTGCTCCAAGGAGGAACTGAGAGCCACGTATGTCTGTCAAGGGTCAAAACACGGCCCTTCATTATTTCAAGGAAAAGCAGGCATTTTGCTTTACCCATTGGAAAGAACTGCTTACGATGCAGTAAAACAGAAGTTTTATTTTTTTGTCTTTTCTTTCACTACTGTGTATGATACTGAAAAGTCTGTCATGCAAAATATTTACTTTCTGTGGATATCCGAGTGTGCAAACGTTTGTGGTTTTGTCTATCGGGCAAAAACAGTTGTAGATTTTTGGCAGTCTGAGCCAGTCTATAGTTTCTGTGAACACCTGGATGCGGTTCTTCCCAGGGCTTTATGTGTTACTCAAATCTCAGGTCCCATTATACAGGTAATCTGTGTGCTATGAAGATGGTGTGTGCAAGGGGTACATATGCAAAAGCAAGACAAGACCGAAGACGTCACACCACGCGTTAGAAGCACTGACCAAAACCATTTGCACTTTGATATTTAAATGAGACTTCTGAAATCCATGCTCAGAGACATATGTAAGTAGTTGATTTTTGGATCCCTTACAATTTTTCTCTCTCCTCTTATTTACAGTAGGTACTCAGCATCTCACACACGAAAAAAAAGCAGTTAAATTATTCAAGTGCTTAAATAAAGATATGGTTGCCTGCCTGTTTGTCCCAATTTGAGAAACTGTTGCCTGCTTTTAGGTTTTATTTCTTTTCCCTCAATCACAGTCTCTCTCCCCCAAACACGCTGATGGAAAAATGAAGATGTACAGATGGGCTGTTCATTTTCAGTCAGGTTGCTGTGTAAATATGGCATCGGGAAAAGAAGAGTGTTAGAAACACAGATGTACGCAAGGCATCCCAACCATCACATTTGGGCTGCCTCTGCATCACTCAAGTATGCATCATCCAGCCCAAGCAGAGCCGTATGAGGCCAGAGGGAAATGTAGCTAATGGAGAACAAACTATTGGTAAATCGCATGCCTTTCAACCTTGCACAACGGGATAAAATAAATATGGATTAGTGCTGGGGTCGAAGTTTTTATTATGTGAAGTACTAGATGTGCAAGTGCAGGAGTTTCTGACTTAAAAAAGTAGTACTAACTGTATGTAACACATATACAGATGCATATATATGTACATAAAATATTTATATATATATATTTTAATTCGTTTTGTTTTGCAGAGCTCGCTTCAACATGGTCCCAGCTAATTTCTCAGCCTCGACATTGCAATTGCTAACAATTTAATCACCTTATAAACTTCCGCAGTGACTAACACCACATCTATGCTTTTGGCACAACACGGTCAGAAGTTGTTTTAGCAACAGCGGTATGTAAAGCAGACACACTATTTGTGAGGCTCAGAGCCCTTAAAAATCATTCCTTTCTCTCTGGGCTATCGACATTCCTGAGTGCTCACGATGCAGCTGCTGAGCCGCTGGACAGCCCACATATGGCCGTGCACTGAACAATAGCGACTCGCTGTTGTTCTTGTTAGATGCATCACCATATGTGTTTATTAGAAACAGCAATAAAACGATGACGGGCTTCTTCAGCTATCCCCACTGCTTGGGGAAAAGAAAAGCAAGGGAATAACTAGGATGAAACCAGAGGGTTCTCCCCAGCTCTGGGGGAGTGGCATGGTTGGATGGTGCAGTCCCACTCTTCAAGGGAGCATGGTTGTTTATTTACCGGCAACACTGCCAAACTGATACTTCTCCTTTAAAAGGACACTGAATCTAAGTCCCCTCTCATTCCTTCTTATCACTGGAAACCTGGAAAAACTGAATCTTGAAAGTGTTGGCATTCAAAGTCCTCTTCCACCAGGGCTCACCTGTGTAAATCCTTCCCTGAGTCATGCAGGAGAAACCCCCCAGCATTTCCAGGAGCTCTGGATCAGGACTTCCATCTTGGCATGTACTTCCATCAAGCACAACCAGCTACTGTGGGATCACCTTCAGCCTGGGGCTGCCTTAAAACAACTTCCAAATTACAGAAATTTGGGCTGGAGACTCAGCATTTTTCAGATGAAGGGGTTGAGGTGGGCACAAGGAGCCCAAAGCAAACACAGAAAGGGTTTAAGGCTGTTTTGCCATTAGGGTAAAAGGCAAGGGAGAAACGAGTGCCAGCGAAAGCGTGTTCAAAGTTGAAAGAGGAGATAACCTAAGACAGTCAAATTGAATATCTGAATCCTCACATGCTCCAAATTCTGTATAATTTCCCTCTACTTCCATAATTCAGTATATTTTAAAGCAAAAAGAGAAGAAAAAGAAACTTTGAGAGCAAACCCAGCAGAGTTAAGTAATATGATGTATCTAAATACGTAATTTTGATATCCCTGCTTATAAGCTGTCTTGAGGCATGTGAAAATCGCTGGGATTGAGTATTTACAGCCAAAGGCAGATGTGAGCCTCTGCATACAGGATCTATATTTTCTCATGTTCAAATCTTGATAATAAATAGTTCCCATCTTGCTGTCTTTTTGTGACCAAAGTAACAAACCTTAGCCCTGTAAAAAACAAAACAACAAACACAAGCAAAATCAGTTTTAAAAATGAATCTGTGATGCTGGTTGTATTGGTTTTACTGCAACCTTCTAACTGTGGTAAGAATGCCATTTCCACTCTTCCTTCACTTCTTTTTTACTTCCTACCCATAAAAGTAAACAATTCAAGACAATGTTTTACATCCTTGAAAAGTTCCCAAAACAGGATTTTCCACTGAGGCTGCAACTCCCTGGGCTTGCATTTTTTTTCCTTTCCTTTATTTTCTGTAGCACAAATCAATTTTACAACTATACCAAAACTGTGATGCTAAATTCTGTTATCTTTAATTATATTGCTAACAGACTTTGACAGAATTGTGTAGTTACTTAGACCTCAGCAGAGCCTCTGCCTTATTCCCCTATCTGCATGCAAGCTACTTTTTACAGGCTATTGTTTTCTCCCCACAAATATCCAAACTACTTTTCGTTTTCTGAATGAACCCATCCACTACTCCTCCACTTATCAGCTTGGAAATGTTGCTGTATTGGTTTCACACAGTTTGATAACTTCGTTTTGAATGGATCTTTGTCTTGGCTTATTTTGTCAGAAGTAGCTGTTTTTCAACAAGCACCTTTAATTCTGTTTCCTTTCAGTTATCGTCTCCTGAAATATCAACATGTTAAAAATAAACTGTTTACACCTTCTGAAGGGCAACAGTGGATCAGGCAACTTTTATTGTACTTCTTGTTTATTATCATCAATCCCCATCCTGCATCCACAAAGGACAATCAGGGCTTTGCCATTGAGTGAAATAAAAGCAGGATGAGACCATATGGTTCTTGTTAAATGAGCCTCATCTTCCTATTGTTAATGCTTATCTCCAAAATAAAGTATTTCTGCAGAAAGCATATTCCCATAGCATGTTCTCTTTCCAATGACCAGCTGGTTGCCAGTTTGTTATTTGCACTGCAGTAGACCACTTTCATCTATGTCTATTCCAGTCCAAGAACACCATTTGTACATTGTCCAACTTGGAAATGTTAATCTGACACCATTGGTCATGGGCCTTTAAACTTCAAGTGGCAAACTTCCAGCTAGCTGCCAGTTGAGTATTTACACTGGAATCTTTCTTAGCCCAGAAATAAACTGTTTGTTCACCATAAACATCAGCAACACGCCAGTAATTTCTGTAACACACATGTAGGAAGGTACAGCCCACCGCACTTTGCTGTTGGCTTCTCAATAACCTCCTAAGTAGCTCCTTGGGGAGATGCTGCTTGTCTTGAGCCAAGATAAATGCATCTATTTCTCTCTCCATGCATGTACATAACTTTTATTTACATTCATAGGAGTTACAAATGCATACTGAAAGGCAAGAAGAGGGACCAAAATTAGGATGGTTGGGCAAGGAGTCTGACAGATTCTCCTGGGATCCAGGACTGCCCGTAAAGGCCAAAACACCAGGAAAACCCTAACACAAAAATATCCAGTTGCTTTGGCATCATCCACAGCTCCTTGTGAACAACCATGAGCGCAGCACTTTGGACACCCACTGGGAAACAGGCAACACTGGATGTACTTGAATGTAGCTTTTCAGAAAGTAGAGTGGTGGCAAAATCCTGCAGGATTTTGTGTAGGAGATTGGTATTGCTTCCAGCAATGTAATTTATGCTTCCTAAAAGAATATTATACTTTGGACTTTTTTCAATGAAATAAAAGACGGAGGGAGGGGAGGAGGGTTATGCTGGGTTCTGTGACTTAAGGAATGTTATACAGTGGCAAGGGTATGTTTCATGTACTTTGTTCAACTCGTTAAAATAAAACATTTCCTTTCTACATATTTTTTCTGTGACCTGAGGATGGAGGGGCAAAAGAAGGAGTTTAGTGAGTTGAAAATGTAAACCTCAGGAATGGACACCTCTATTGAATAAAAATACCCCAAACTCAACAAAGACGGTTCTCTCTTTTGCTTTTCCTTTTTTTAGTTAGATAATGTACCTGTTGCCTTTAGTGTTACCTTGGTTGTTCCAAGTAAAAGTAAAACCCCAAACCAAATCAGGTTAGAGGGGAACTGACCCTCTTGAAGTACTTCAGCAAAAACTCAGAGGACAATTTGGGGTGTACAGCTGACCTTATTATTCATGGACCTCTCAGCACCTACCTGCGCCTTTAGTTCACATTCCAGCCACTTGCACCCCACAGCCACCAGGGAAATGGTGGTCAAAGTGCAAATACCGGCCAGCACGAAAAGCAGGATCCTGCAAATCTAAATTATGTGAACGAAAGGAGGTGTGCATCCCATGTTAGGCTGAACCCTGTGACCCGATGAATACCGCAACCAAACCAGAATGCTGTCCAGGCACAAACTGTGGTAAATGACAGGCTGTAGCCCCCTGTTCCTATATGGACAGCAATTCTTGAGCAAAGCCCAGCAACTTAATTCACAACCTTCTGCCCTGTATTTGCACTGGAAGAAAGCAGCTGGCTTCTTGCATTGCCAGCAAGAAGCACTTGAGCTTTGGTGGCCCTCACTGACCTGTCTAGGCAATGAAGTGCCCAAATAGTGGCTGCACACAATCTCTCCAAGCCTCCCAGAATCTCCTTCAGAATCCAACATGTTACAGGGAATATTTTCAATGTTAGAGACATGACTTGGAATCTTAAAGGCTGAGATGTTAAAAAAAATTCCCCTTTGCTTGTAGAAGTCATGTAAGAAAAGTGCATTTGCTATCCACTTACAGCAGGACGATGAGACACTCATTGTTGCTAGATACTCCAATACCTTGGGCAAAAAGTAGTGTGAACCCAAGGACTTCTTTTCCCGGTGCTTCTGCATTCAGTGGGATTTCTATGTCAGATGTATCAGTTTTAATTCTGACCTTTGCTAACTGCCCACAGCTTGATTTTTTGCAGCCTCAGCACTCCTTCAATTTGGGAGTATGAAATACATACAAACATGTAACCATCTACTGTGCACCAAAATTTTGATAAACATACATTTTTCTTACCTCACCTAAGGCTCCTCTTGCAATCGAATGAAGGAGAACAAAATATTTTGACATCTCAAAATACATTCTCTTTTCCAGGAGGGCAAATAAATAGACCTGACATAAAATAATGTCATAACAATCAGCAACTGCAACTCGATTCTCACTGCTGTAACTTGAAACTCGTAAGAGAAGGTTAAAGTAACCCAAGTCTGAATTCCTGGCCACTAAGAAAGCATCAATTCCTTCTGTGCTGGGTTTTTCTGTAAGGCTAATCCTATTTGGGACAACCTCTGAGCTAGGTAAAATAGCAAAGTATTTCCCCAAAATGCTTAAGGAAATTTGATGATTGGAAATCGGCCTCATTGACTACATCTAAGCAATAAGAAACTGGAGCAGGTAAAACTGCAGACTGAGGAAGGTGCTTGGACTCAGAGGGAAGAAGAAAATCAAGCTACTTTCAGAAGAAGTCTGGTTACCAGGAGAAAACTAGGAGTCTACAAAAGGATAACGGGCCTGAGAAGAGTGATGAGAAGACTGGGGAAGAACCCCAGGCTGCCAGAGAGAAAAAATGAGCAATTGAAGAAAGACTCAGAGAACTTACAAAGCGAGGCCTGGGGCTAATCTTTCTGCTAGTTTATTTTTTTCCCCATTTGTTTATTTGCTACAAGTCAGATTTTGGAGCAATTAGTAAAATAGCATGCAAATATTCCCTGTGTGACTGCACATGAATAACTTTAATTTCACTAAACATTTGTCCCATCGTTCTGAAATACATCTGCTGTTTGCATTAAGATAATCTGCTAAAATACTGGGAAGTAAATTACAGTTTTATAAGATATTTATGAAACAACTTCTTATTTGTATATTAAATATCTCTGCCTATCACGGCCTGCTTCGTTGGCTGACGTCTGCCTTCGCTGGGTGCATCCGTGCCCTGTTTCAATTACAGACTGGGCTGAGTACCATCTTGTGGAAAAGCTCCAACTGGCTGGGAATGGCTTGGCATACACTCATTGCAGGCTGAGGGAATAGTATCAGATCTGCCATCAGCATATGACAGAAAAAACCCAACAACCCCAAAACAAAACCCAAGATTGCACATGTGCATAAATCGAGTGGCACTTGCAGAAAATCTGGCATGACACTGCAGGAGTGTGTTTCATTCCTCTCAGCGTGCTGCAAGAAATGACCTTATGGAGAGACAACAATAAGGCTTGGAGGTTGCACCCAGTCCCTACTTGGTGAGCACACACCATATCGGGAAGTAAATTAAAAGCATTTTTTACTGTTTCATCCTCTCAGGGTAGTCCCCTTCTCTTTGCAAGCAGGGAAGTCCTAAGTGGTTGGGGAGAAAAGCATTGGTTAGTGTTGCCACAGCCCAGATGAGTGTGTAGCCCTGTTCCCAAGTTTTCAAAGGAGATGTGGAAAAGCAGGTCATTCGTCATCTTCCAATAACGTGATTGGGCCAGGATTGGTAATGATAACCCTAAGGGCTGCGCTCCGTGGGAGGGAGACAAGGTGGTTCAGAAAGGTGGAGGATGGAAAACAAACAGATCTGTGTGCTGAAGGAGGAGATTGCTGCTGTACAGTCAGGGATGAATCTGCACTAGCTTCAAGCATGGACAGATTGAGCTCAGGGTTGGCAATGAAGCCCTCCTGAGATGCAGATAAACCCTGTATCACTGCCATTGCTTGCTCTAGACAGGATCTGCATTGCTGGCAACATCCAAGCCACTTCAGTTTAATTTAGTTCGTGTGTAGCTTTATGAACTTCAGCCACACAGTTACATCTGTGTCCCTCTTAGAACCCAGCCCAGAGTGCACAGGAGTTGCCACAGCCCCACAGACAATGAGTAGCGAGGCTGTGTGAGGTCTATGATGCCATCAAGGAATTCAGTGATCCTCCAACATTTTTCAACTATCCGGGGCCCCGTGGATGGGCACTGGCTGCAGATTCCTTGTCTGGACACAGAGCATAGCTGGCTTGGAAGGTTTTGAGGATTCAGTTCTCTGATTAGCATTGTCTTCCTTTACATTCCCTGCAAAGCTGCTCCATCCCTAGTCCAGAGGTTAAAATTGAGTGCCCAGTTTAAAAGTGAGTGGTGTGAATTGAGAAGTGGGAAGAAGAAACCCAAGGCACTGGGGTTTGCGTTTAGATGATCTAAAGTTTGAATGAAGAAGTCTGGGAAAGAAAAGAGGAGACTGAAACACTTTAACACCAGTTATCATCTTAACCCACAAATCCTCTGGTTGGGTATTAACATTACCTACATGAGGTCAAGCTTGAAAAATAATAAAAGGGTGGTGTAAGCCAGCTTGCCCTCTTCTTGCTTGTGCCCCATGCAGCACCTCTATTGCTGTTGCACGGCCACACACCACACTGGCCAGAGACCCTTGAACTGATGCAACAGGGTGGGGAAGCAAGTAGGGAGGGTGTATGTTGGCATGGATCAGTCCCCAAATACTACAGCAAAATAATGCCAGCCTGGGGCTGGGTGGCTGGGTTCAGGCTGCCTCAGTGAGGTATATCAGTGCCCATGTGCTGTGCTGAGCTCTACTTGCTGCACTGGCTTCACAGAGCCAAGGGCTCTGGCAGGGACCACACCGGCAATTGTGCAATCCTGCTCAGCTGCAGATTTCCTCTGGCACCAGCAGTACAATAGCAGGCCTGTTGGTAAACAGGAATTGTTTCCTTGCCACAATAGGAGTCGGGATGAAATCATTCTCCGATACCAAGCAGCCTCAACGTGCCTCGTCTGCTCCCCACCCTGGTTTAGATGGTAGTGCCTTCCTGCTCCCCCTGGGCCTTGAGTCCCTCATAAAACGACAACACAGTAAAACAAAATAATAATGGAATCCATATAAGGCTTGATGTCTTCATTGCTCAGTAGAAAAAGCGCCAAGGGAGCTCTGCCTGAATATGTGCAGCAGGTTCCCAGCATCAGCAAGGATTTTTTAAAAGGAGGAAAGGACATTTTTCAAGCTCTGGATGCCAGTATCCATCTTGCCCATCCTCAGCTCTACACCTCCCACGGAAGGAAACAGGTCATTATGAGAGATGAATCCCTGGGTCTGGCAGGTATACATGGAGTTAAGCTCACCTGAACATCTAGGGGCTGTGTGGGAAGGGTGACAAATGCTGACAGCCCCAGCAAGAACCTTTTGGCTGGGCTGGCCCATTCCCAGCATCCCCCTTCCTGGCAGCATCAGGGACCATTGGGCTCTCACAGAACATTTTGCGGTCAGGGTAATTGCATTGTTGTCTTAAAACTGCCGAGGCGTGCCCCTAAATAAAACCAGACCCCAGCCCCACTGCAAGCCCAGCAGCCCCCAGCGCGTGCGGTCTGACGCATGGCCCCGTCCAGCCTCCCTGCCCTGCTTGCATTTCAGTGCCTTGGTTATTAATGAATTTGTAATTGCATAGGGGGGGGGAAAGGTAAACATATGATTTGGGACAAATATATACATGTCATACATATACATATACACACACACACTCATATCTACATGTATTTTTTGGTCAATGGTGTCCTAGAACCCAAAAGCACCATTTAATTATTTGTGTTGGGAGTGCCAAAGGAACCTACCGTTTATTTATACAGTTAAATCAGCTGCAGATGTGTGTGTGCCTTTTCTTTCATTCTTTCTTTCCTTCAATGTTGGCATTTCTGACATTTCCATTATTTTTTTTCCCCTCTCTCATTCAATGGGGGCATCTGAAAAGCATTGGGAAATGACCCGCTGGTCCCTCCCTGATCCTGTCCACAGGGATGGGCATCCCATATTACTCTCACAGGGCTGTGCTTTCCTCCTGCCCCAAAGCAAAGGCTTGACAAATTAAGATCTCACACTCCACGAATTGGGAAAAGGAAAGTTCCATGCGCCACACAGGCTCAAGAATGCTCCTTTGGTGAAGGAAGCATCGCAGCTGAGACTCCACAGCTCACTGCACCCATGGGCAGGGACAAGAGGAACCAAGTGCAGGGGGAAGGAGCCCAGCAAAATTTTGGTCCCTGTGAATAAGCTTCCTCTCTCCATTTTTTAAAGCCCATAGGATACTATGTGACCTCTGCTTTTCATTTTTCAGGGCAGGGAGAATATAGAGCATCTGTCTGAGCTGGGCTGTGGAAAAACCTGGTGCCTTGGAGGGCTCTGCCCAGGCTGTCACTGTGACTTGCTTGCATCAGCCTTGTTTGGTGGTTTAGGTTTACCCCATGAAAACCAGGCTTGGCATTGGCTTTAAGCATTAGGCAGGTGATGCAGCAGAGATGCCTGTTTGATTTTTTTATAATTATTCTAATCATATCTCCCCCCCCCCCCCCCCCCTTACGATCTTCCTTTTCTTGAATGAAATTCACAGGAGCAAGGTACCAGCCGCTCCAAGCAGCATGCCAGCAACTGCCAGCAGAAATCAGGACAAATATTGCTCTACCCCTTTTGGCAGGAGAAGGCAACCTCTTTCTGTTTTACCTGGAAGACAGTCATCAAGGCTTAGCAGCCCCAGGAAGCAACTTAACAATGTAGCCAGAAAATGCACTTCAGAATCTTTTGGCAGGAGACTGATATTTCCTAGTATCATTCTGGATGCTCAAATGATGTGATAATAACCGTATTAGAAGCATTTAGGACATAGGACTATTAGCAAATGATTCATTTCTAAACTGTCAAACCTACCTAAAGCTGACATTCACATGTTGAAACCCCACTTGCTGTCAGAGGGTGAGAAATGCTGCGGGTGTCGGGTGCTGGCTGCACCCCAGGGGCTGCTCCTGACAACCCTTTCCACCCCACTGAGGCAGCCTGGCCGCTTTTTAAAGCCAAAGACCATCACTCCCAGGACACTTCCAAGCACTACTTGTGGACATCCTCTTGGGTAGCTGGTCACAGTACCAGTGAGACAGTCTCTTTCAATTCGCCCATGCAGGAGGATAACTTTGCAGCAATTATCCACTATATTATATGATCTGGCTCATCCAGTATTATCTGAAAAGGTACAATACCTGTAAAACTGTTCCATATAAACATCTGTATAGATGCAAAGCCTCAAGATGTACTTAAATATGTATAGTTCTTATATTTTGTTATGTACCTACATTATACAGATTGTTCTTTCTTTTTTAGGTTATCTCATAAAAATGTATAGAAGCCAAGGCATACATACATATGTATGTATGCATACATAGTTATAGTATGTTTATTCAATAATAAGCAATTTGCCTATAAATATATATGTACACATGTATGCATATATATGTACATACCGATATATACACACACATGTATGTATGTATGTGTATCTACTTATCTATATGTACAGGCACATGCTGGGTATATAAAGATGACTGGCTACTATACCAGAACACTGTTCTGAGGCAAACTGAGTCCCATGATACAGTCTATGAGGCTTCACAACAGCTCCCAGGCTAGACATGTAAGCAAGTCCACTTACACATAACAGCATTTTCCCTCTTACACATTATGAGCCACTTTCATTAAAATTCAACACTTCTTTTAAGAGGCTTTTCTTGCAGCCACTACTCCCAAACTTGGTTTCTTTCCGGCTCTCAGTAAAGCCACCAACTCCTCCTGAGGCAAGGGCAGCATAACCAAGCCAGATCTGGTTAGCCAGTATAAAGCACTGATGGCTAGTTTTATTGCCATTGAGCCAGCATACCCAGAAGACCTGAAATATTTACAATTATCTCTAAAACGACTTTTTACATCTTATTCTCTAGGAGATGCATTGCAATGAGCATGCAGGTTTCCTAGCAGTTCACTAAGCCAATTAATCTATGTATTCTTTGTGACTTTTGAATGTACAAACCAGCTTGTCTGATAGCTGATGGTGGCCTTGCTTCACAGTGCTTTGGCACCTCCCCGGCATGCCTCGGAGGCTGCTGAGGAAAGGGGCCTGGACCACAGCGCTGCAAGGCACCACAGTGCTGCAAGGCACCACAGTGCCATTTTGAATGACAATATTTATTCCTGACATTTTGCTACAGGGGAAGGAAAAAAGAAACAAACAAACAAAAAAAAAGGCAAAAAAGCAAAAGCTGGCCGTAATTCAAAGTCTCTGCAAAGTCACTGGGAATCTTCCAGAAGGCTTCAGCGAGAGCAGGATTAGCTCCCCCCATATATACATAAAATTTGTTGTCTTTTGCATATCAAAGTGGTGAAGCCTCTGTTCTCTTCAGCTGTTGCTTTTAAGTGTGCTATAAACGGAGCCTTATCTGTCCAGCAAAAAAAAAAAGGCTTTGACAAGGAAGACTAGCTCAGATGCCGAGACAAACTTGGCCACGTTCCTGCAGCAAGAGCAAAGCCAATAAAGATATGGGCTGGTCTCTAGATGCTGTCGATAACGTGATTCGGATGACTGTTCAAAAACTCTCACTGTGTCCCTGTTGCTGTTTACACCAATGAACCCTTCGTCATCCCCTTCTCTCCACACTTACCCTCCCTCCCACATGTGCAAGGATGTTGCATTGCAGACAGGGTGCAACGGGCTGAGATGGCTCCTTATTCCTCCCAGTTATAGTAGCAGACACTAAAGAATCTACAAAAGCAAGAAAAATAGAGTTGGAGAAAGGAAAACTTCTCAAGCCTTTGTGCTTATTGAACTGAGCAGCTCCACTCAACAATTCTTCACATTCCACCTTCTATTCTCCCTAAACTTAGACAAGTCTCTGTAGACCAGGTATGACTTTACCTATTATGTAGTTTCTGGGGATTTTTCTGCAGCCCCCCTCTCCCCTGGGGAGTTGCTCGCTAATGCCTGTGTATCCCATTAATACATTAATACACGCTGGGAATCTGGTCAATAATTAGGCTGATGAGTGTCCTGGGTTCAACCTATTAAAAGGGCCTGAGTGCAGCCAGGTCACCCACTCCACCATGTGCTTGTCATGACCAGGAGAAGCAGAAGTGTGTAAAGCCAGTAACCTCCATTCCCCAAATGCTCTTTTCTCAGCAATTTTAGCATACATTGCTCCAAATTCGTGTAAGCAACCTATACGCTGTGTGCACTGGAGGGGGGGTGAGGCTGCAGAAGTCTTGCTGGTCTGGCCATGCCCACGCTACATGGTGGATATCAACAGAGTAGTGAAATCAGAGCAGAAAACGCTTCCCCAAAAATGGCACTTATATATCCATATATGTATGAGCACACATGTATAAAACCCCATTGTGAACCTACAAAACCCCAAGGATGCGCAGGGGCTAGTCTTCATTAGCATTTGGACAGAAAAAACCCTGCTTCCTCATCTTGTTCCTGGACACTGAAAAACATCAGCACTTTTTTTTGCAACTTCTTGAAATACTTTCAGCATGTGCTTGCCCAGCTTCCCTATGCACCCAGGGAATTACGGCAATACTGAAGACTGATGGAGCTGCCAGGAAGAGCAGTGGCACGGTTATGCCCAGGCCAGCAAACAGAGGAGCGTTTCCAGCGTATGCTGAAAATTCAGATTCTGTCCAAGTCTTTGGAGAGCAGATGTCAATTATGAATCACATGATTACTCTGCCATATTTTTCCTGGTTATGCTCATTGACTTAGATAAGGTATCATTTTTCACCTACAAAATATGTTGCATATACAATAAATAATATGCACAGTACCATAATAAATATTCAGTATATATGGTGTGTGCATTATAGTGGTCCTGGTAGAGTTATAGCAGAACAGTCAAGGCTGAATTGGCATTTTCATTATAAAGGCTGATAATTCAAGATCAGTAGCAAAAGACAATGAAATACCATCTGCTCACACACAAACAGCTTTTACAGAGGAGGTTTAAGGTCTTGATGCAAGCAGTTCTGCGTAGAGGGCAAAAACAAGAGAGCTCCTGAGACACTGTCTCTTGCTGTCAAAACTCTTCACCTGAATTTGCTCTCACTTAGATGGCAGTTGATGCTTTTCCTAAATCTCTAGCTTATGGAGCCTGAAGATATTGTGAGCATCAGTTTCCTCACAGGAGGTATAAAGGCTATTTTGTATACTTTCTGCCACAACAAAAAAGCTTGCAAATGCAAACTCTGCAACTCCACAACCAAAATACAAATGGGGTTAAATAAGACTTGACACTAAGGAAGAGCAACACATGCTCAGCATCTGCTGAAGGCCAGGATGGTTTGGGCCCACGCTGACCTGTTCCAGTGGTACCAAGTTCAGTAATCAGCATCAGGTCTGCATCTGCTCCCTTACAGGGGCTCCCAGGGCTAATTCAGGTGTGGCACGTTACGTATTTTCAAAGATCTGGCCTCTTTGTACTGAAAATCATTGTGTCTCTAACCACTACAGCCTCTTCTACCTTTAATGCCATATCAGCTGTAGCTTCTAATTGACAGCTCGACCAAAACTCAACAAAATACTCCTGATCCAACCAATATTCCCTCCCAGGTATCTTCCGACGGCTGCAGCCCATCAGGCAGACGTTTTCACAGGAATGGACTCATCTTGTCTGGAGGTGTTTGAAGTGGGGCTGGCTGGCCCCAGCTGAGCAGCTTTGCTGGTGGGTAGGAGGCAGTGGTATTTTCCAGCAGAGGGTGTTAAAGAACAAGCAGGAGGTCTGGTGGTAGGTGGCAACCTCTTCTTTTCAGCACAGCTGCTTGCAGAGGGCATGTCAGTTTACACCTTGAACTAATCACAGTGACAGCCAGCAGCGAAAACCTGGACGTGGGGAAATCCATGGGAATTTTGCCCAGGCTTTTCCCTCTAGCTGTTACACTCGTGATTTAAATGTATTTCTTCCACTATATGGTACCTTTCCCTCCAACCACAAAATTCATGAAGATTTTTTTTAGTTCATACCCAACAGGCACCTAAGCATCTTTGCAGTCCTAGTGCAATGAAAGGACGGTGATGCTGCAGGGTGTAAACAGAGGTAAGTGGAAGGACCCACCTCTGACCATGTAACATCTCCCTGCCCATCCTGACGTGTCTAACAGGTGACTTCACCCCAGTTCTGTAATGCCCCCCTTTCGTTGGCTGGCTCTGTATTGGTGATAAGTATTATTCGCACATCATCACAGCCTCAGTTCCGCAGCTCTTCAAGCCTGTTTCCAAAAGAAGCTGTCACAGACAATAAACACCAAAGTAACCCCACTTCCAATTTAATTGTTTTCTCAAAATATCACTAGCAATTAGACTATATTAGCAACAGATTGTTTGCAGTAGCTCATTCTCTGAGTCAAAACTGGTTTCTTTCTCTTTTCCAATCACACAAACCATCTGAAACTAGAAAGTACCTAGGTTGTTATGTTTCTTTTGCCAGAGTCAGAATCAAGTAAACAACCAACATTACTTCTACAAAAGCCGAAGTGTCTGGAAAACACAGGAGAAAAATATGGAATGGCTGGAATTTTTTTTTATGTTTACAAATTTATTGTGGAAGTTTTAAGAAAATACAGTGACAGCACTGCCTGCAGTACAGAAGGGAATGACAGTCAATAAATAAAACTAAAGGACTGTGCAATAAATAAATACAAGACTAATATAATATGTTTGTAGTGGGCTGATCAGTTTTAAATCCTCTGCCTAAGGCTGACTTTTACAATAAACAAACCACGCCTGTATGTTTTTCTCTATCAGGGCTTTGTGAGCCCATTTATTTATGGTTGGGCTCACCTTCTTCCCCACACATGAACTTTTTGCCCATTTCAGCTTTCTCTCCTCTTGATAAAAATAAATCAACCCCCAAGCAGAACATATCACTGCCCAGAGGTAATGTACACCTACTCTCTTACTGATGGGGCATTTGAGCTTTACCAAGACTCACTGCGTCAGCAGAACCATAACACACGTACACCAGCACTGATGGAGCCAGCCCCTTCGTTATGTCATACACATGCCCTCCGCTGAAGTACGCTGTGCTGTGCATGTCAAAATGCATCCCGCCCTGTCCCTGGGGACTTCTTTTTTTTCTGAGGCTAGCTTAGCCAAGTGACTGCACATCTTTTTATTACCTTTGGTGGAAAACCTTAGCCCTTTTAAGCAGCGCTGCACAGTCGAGGGGACTTGGAGGGCTCCAGACAAGCGTCTGCAAAACCATCTCTGGCTCAGTGGCTGTGATCATGAGCTAGGTAATTTGTTTGATTAGGGCATCCGTCTAAGACAAAGAAAGTGTAGTGGAGTGAGTCAGGCTCTGGTCTCATTTACAGGTCTGGAGATGCATGGAGAAGCTATTACAAGTAACCTGTGACCTGGCCCGCCCTCAGGTGAAACGGCTTTGCCTAGTCACCTCCTGTTAGCCTTAGCCAAATGATAGGCTTCGGGGAGCCCAGGACGCAGCGACGATTCATCAGACAGACAATATCAGACCTATGGGCCCAGCCCCAAGCTATGCAGATGCAAAAGCAGATGAATTTAGACAAAAAAAAAAAAAAATAATGGGTTTTCAAACTTACTATGGTGATAGTGTTACTTGCAACAAATCTGTCTGCAGTTTTGGGGCTGCAGAGATGAAAGTCCTCAGGAAAAATGTCAGTGGCTTGAGTTTATTTATATGTAAGGTAACCATGAAAAATGTTGGTGTACCACTAATTGTAGGGCATATTTATTCTGCACAAGTTGTTTTCCACATTAGCACAGTTGTTAAAATGCAGTTTTGCCTCAGGAATATTATAACTTTATCTTCTTTAATTATAAATGTGGATGTTGCTGGGGTACTATACATTGAAGAAGAAATGTAAGAAATGGGTACTGCAAGGAGGAAAACAATTAAAAGTGTAATGTACTAATTATATGAAACATACTCAGGAAGACCCACGGATAAGCTGGCAAAGCAGCTACAGTGCGTTAGATCCTGGTTTTAGATTTGTACGCCTTCTCACTCCAAATTTCTCCCATGGTTTTCCGCTCAAACCAACTAACAAGGACCAGTTGGCAAGGCAAGCAGCACGTTACTCTGCCCTGTGCAGACACTACAGTGTAAGAGCAATTTTACTTTGAGCAACTAAAACCAGAAACTTGGAATGCAAATGCACATTGTAGTTATCATACAGCAAATGTTTTAATGAACGACAGTATAAGAGCATCTTCTGATAAGGCAGGGAATATTTTAATTAAATAGCCAGTATTACGAAAATACCTGATGTCCTCGATAAAATCATAACTCTGTATGCATGAAGCAGAGAACAGTAAGGGTTGCTGACCTACTGTGTGTTACAGGTAAGACACACGATGAGCAAACACCTATTCCCTTGAGAAACACGTGGCATAAAAAATGTGACGTTTTCCTCATGGAGCTAAGAGACAAAATTCAGACATGATTTGCTGATCTGGAGTAAAGGCCCAGCTTGCCTGGGAGTCAAAGTTTTCTGAAGAAGGTTATCACCGAGAGTGGGGCTGCAGTGACCGCAGCCACAAGAGTGCGTGCTTCACATCGCTTCCACCCTTCCCTTTGGGTTACGTGCACTCAGGCACAGTGTTTGCACAATGTGGATACTTACATATACATATTTATATCTTGGGACCAAGAATCTGTTTCTTTCCCATGAGAGGGGCCATTTAGTGGTGCAGGAAAGCACATGGTAGCATTTCAAGATTTTCAGGTTTTC